ATCCCCTGCTCACACACTGTCTCTCTCTCTCTCTCTCAAATATAAATAAACATTAAAAAAATGAAATTAAGAAAACAATTCCATTTGTAATAGCATCAAAGGGAATAAAATACTTAGGAATACATTTAACAAAAGAAGTGTAAGACTTGTACACTGAAAATTACAAAACATTTTTGAAAGAAATTGATAAAGGCCTAATAAATGGAAATATATTTCATGTTCATGGACTGGAAGACTTCATTAATATTGTTAAGATGGCAATACTCCCCAAATTGATCTGCAGATACAATACAGTCTCTGTTAAAATCCTATTGGAGTTTTTTGCAGAAATTGACCAAGTGATTGTAAAATTCAGATGCAAATGCAAGGGACTCAGACTAGCCAAAACAATCTTGAAAAAAAAAAAAAAAAACCAACAGAGGACTCACATGCCCAAATTTTGAAACTTACAATGAAGGCAACAGTAATCAAGATAATGTGGTACTGGCATAGGAAAGACATTTATAAATCAATACAATAGAATTAAGTGTCCAGAAATAAAACCTAACATTTAGTAAAAAGGACATTTCAGTGGGGGAAAGAATAGTCTATTCAGCAAATGGTACCAGGATAGCTGCATATATACCTGTAAAAGAATGAATTTGCATCCTATCTTATACCATATTAAAAAATTTCGAAATAGATCAAACTCCTTAATTAATTAATTAATTAATTTTTAGAGAGAGAGAGAGCACATTAGCAGGGGAGAGGGGAGGGACAGAGGGAGAGAGAGAGAGAGAGAGAGTGTCTTAAGAGACTCCACGCTGAGCAGAAGCCCCTCGTGGATGAGGGGCTGGATCCCACAACCCTGGGATTATGACCTGAGCTAAAATCAAGAGTCAATCGATTGAACCATCCAGGTGCCCCAATGATGAAAGTTTTAGAAGAAAATATTAACTGTCAATCTTTGTGACCTTGGATTAGGTAACAGTTTCTTAGATATGATACTTAAAGCATAAGCAGCAAAAGAAGAACGTTAGACTTGATCAAAATTTAAAATGCCAGTGTTTCAAAGGATACCACCAAGAAAATGAAAAGACAACTGACTGAATGGGAGAAAATATTTGCAAATCATGTATCTGATATTTGGTTAGCATATAAAATGTATAAAGAACTCTTAAAACTCAATGATAAAAAGGCAACCTGGTTAAAAATTGGGCAAAGAACTTGAATACCTTTCTCCAGAAAAGGTATGTAAATGTACAATAAGCACATTAAAAGATGCTTAACATCATTAATCACTAGGGAAATGCAAATCAAAATTGTAGTGAGATACCATTTCACACCCACTTAGAATAGTTAACAATAAAAAAGGTGGACAGTAACAGTTATTGGGGAGCATTTGGAGAATTGGTGAAATTGGAACCCTCATACAGTGCCGGTGCAAATGTAAAATGGTACTACCACTTTGTCAGGTTCTCAAAAGGTTAATGTAGCGTTACCGTTACCAATGGGAGAGTATGCATTGTGTGAATGGAGGTCTTGGGTCTTGGGTTCCCCACAAAAGATTTATGTGAGGATCCACACTTGAATAAAGATAGCCAGAAGGAAAGTGGCAAGCACAAAGCAGTTTATCAAGAACATTACACTCTCGAAGTGAGAGTGGACAGGCCCAGAGGTGGCAACTGTACTGGGGTTAGGAGTGTCTTTTTATGTTTGTGTAGGTTATGGGTCATAGCTAGGGTTGTCTCCAGCTAAGGTTGTTTCCAGTCATCTAAAGTACTCCTACTTGTTGGGAGGGGTAGTTTTTGACCCTATAGGGTTCTTGCCAGAACTGTCAAGACCATCTTCTGCCATAGGGGTGGGCAGGGAGGTGGGTCAACACCGCAAGGTAAATATAATGAGGCCATATGTTACCATGGGGTAGAGGTTGAGGACGAGAGTGCATGTTCTGCACTTGTGGCTCTTGGTCTGTAAGCCCTAGGGTGTTGGAAGCCACAAAGTCAGGATGTTGTGCCCTCAGGCTTCTAATGTGTCGCCTCTTTATCACTGCCTTTGCCTCCAGCTCATGTCTAACTAACTGCCTACTCTTTCTACCATATGGCTCAGCAATACCATTTCTACGTATATACCCAAAAGAAATGAAAACACGTTCACGCAACAACTTGTATATGAGTGTTCATAGCATCATTATCCATACTAGCCAGAAAATGGAAACAACCCAAATGTTCATCAAATGATGAGTAGATTTAAATATGTGGTATATCCATACAATGGCATATTATTTGGCCATGAAAAGGGATCACATACTGATACATGTTACAACGTGAGTGAACTTTGAGAGCAGCTAAGCTAGACAAAAGAGGCTGCATGTTATGTCATCACGTGAATATGAAATGTCCAGAATAAGTAAATCCATAGAGACAGAAAGTAGATTAGTGTTTGCCTAATGTGGGAGGGTGCATGATGACTACTAATGTGTATAGGGTTTCATTTTGCAATGATGAAAATACTGTAGCATTAGGTAGTAGTGGTAGTTTCCTATGTTGCGAATGTAGTAAAAACCACTGAATAGTTAGTACCCTTTAACATGGTGAATTTTATGGTATGTGGATCATATCTGAGTAGAAGGAAAATTAATTTTATTAATGTCTTAAAAGATCATGATTTGGTGACCTTTGGGGGCTGCCATGGCATGAACCCATTATCCTGCAAACTGGTAAATTTATGGAAATGATTCTGTAGTAACTGAGTAACAGGGTAATCAAAGAGCTGATGAAGGAAAACTTTATTTTTCTGAAAAGTATAGCTAATTAATGGTAGAATATCAATCACCATTTTGCTACACCTACTGGAATAGGCAATGACAATTATTGGCTGCTAATGAGGGAACTTGATAATGAATGAATCAGAGTACTACTACTGGAACCCTCAGATCCATCTTAATATTACAGAAAGACTGTCTCCTGCCTCTAGCCTATGGAATCACACAAAGGGGTTTTCTTTCTGGAGGTACCCATTCACTTTGTAAAACAGTCGTCTAAGTTTTGATTAAGGGCAGGCATCCTCTTTCATCTCCAGGAACTCCTGTTTTAGCTTGCATCTACACTGCATCTAGCAGCTTTTCTTAGAAAGTTTTGTTCAGGGCAGAATGGAATTTGTGCTCCTGTTTTTCTTTTTATGTTTTTGTGTGATTCCTGAGAGGAGACAGGGTTTTTATGTGACTTCATCAAGTCATCTTAAACCCAAGAGTCTTTGGGCACTAAGTCAATAGATGAGGTAAGAGATAATCAAGATCTGAGTAGGCCAGAGGCCACGTTGACAGTGTAACAGGATAGATTTGTTGTTCGGGGATATTGGTTAGGGCACATAGTAGTGTCTTCATGAATGTTTGTTGACTGTGGAATGAACATAAGTGAATTTATCCAATTTTAGGGTTTCATTGCAATATTGGTATAAATTATACCACTTTGGTATGAATTATAGTCTACTTTTAGAGTTACCATGCATGAATTGAGTCAGTCTTGGGCTTCTAGAGGAGAGGTTGCAAATGGCTGATAGGTCAAATCTAGCCTACAACTGTGTTTTATTTGGCCTCCTCAGTGGTTTTTTTTTCGCCCCTTTAATCTGTTGCCAACATTTCAAAATAATGGATTTCACATAAAAACTGGGTTTTCTGGCTTCTCTTAAAAAAGCAGATCTGGCAACACTGGGCTTACATTCCCTCATGCTACTCAGTGAAAGCTGAATAGTGGCTGCATTAGACCTAGTCCTGTGCTGTTCCTGTCACTCACTGGTTCCTGTGGACATTTGAGTTTGTGACCCCTACTGTAGTGGTTTTAGAGGACTATTTTCTAAGTCTTAGTCTAAATCTAAAAGTGTTACTTTGAATTACCTTTCTTCTTATGTTGCTGTTTAAACATACCACATGATTATGACACCTATCTCATTAGAATGTAGGCTCTGTGTTGGCTGTAAGTGTGTCTTCTATTTCTAGATATTCTCCATGATGCTGGTATAGTGCCTTACATATTGTAGGGAAGTCAGTACGTATTCATAGATCTCTGCTCGGATTTGGCAAGGTAATTGAGGAAGCCCAATATGCTGTGGCATTCAGACATTAACAAATTTTTTTTGTAATGTTTATTTATTTTTGAGAGAGGGAAAGAGAGTGAGCATGCATACGCGTGCACACAGAGGAGGGGAGAGAGAGAGAGGGAGACAGAGGATGCAAAGAAGGCTCTGTGCTGACAGCAGATAGTCCGATGTGGGGCTTGAACTCAGGAACCGCGAGATTTATGACCTGAGCCAAAGTTGGACTCTTAACCAACTGAGCCACCCAGGTGCCCCAAGACATGTTTATAATCCAGCAAAACAACATCTTGACACACTGGTTTAGAATAGAGATATATATTATTATCATTTTGGAGAAATGATTTATGTTTATTAATGATAGTTTCATCCTCTTATTTTTATCAACCAGTTGTCTCAGATAATTTTAGGGTTAAAATTTATTAGATTACTACATTGTAGGGTTAATAAACAACATTTTGGATATTAAATATTTTCTTGGCCATCTTAATAATGTGGATTGAGTTAGGTCTTATGAATATATCCCATAGGTAAATGACTACAGAAAATGAATGGAAAGAGCTGAGCTCTTTAAGGGGATAATCATTGTCAGAAAGGATATGGGAAAATGAATTTTTTTAAAAGAAAGTGTTATTTGATGATACAAGTACAAAGAGATATTGAAAACAATTGGTGATAATGTTAGAAGTATAGGCAAGGGCCGTGTTATGTGCGTGTGGTTGGATTGCGGAGCTTAATGTAAGAGGAAGTCATGGAGTCAGTTACTATGTAGTTTTTGAAAATTATTTCATGAACACAAACCATATTTTGTTTAGCCCCACACTAGCCAGTTGGGTAATGACTTTGAATATCAAGTTTGAACATTGTAAATGTTGGTTTCATGCCATGTATATTTCTTAATCCTTATTGTGCGTTTATTTTTACATTAGGTGAGAAATTCATCCACACTTCTTTTCAGTACCTTGATCACAAGAATATTTGGAGTTAAAAGGGGAAAGGATGAACTTTCCAAAAAAAATAGGTAAGCTTCATCTAACGCTAACTTTACTTTTTACAAAATATTGTCCTGGCCAAAAATAATTTTTGGAAATTTGCTTACTTTTATGGATTCATCTAGAGCATAAAACTATTAAAATACTATAGTAAATTAACCTAAGCTGCCAAATTCTAACCTCTTGGGCAAAAATACCTACTGTTTAATAAGTGGACCTTTCAAAGCAACAAAAATATGGCAAGGTAGCATGGGCTGAAATGTCGAGCTGGTTTCTCAGTGCAACAGCTAAAGTATTTTTTTGTTTTCTTTGCATCTTCAGGTATTCCTTTAATGTCCTAAATTGTTTTTTCTTGATGTTTTAACCACGTACTAACTTGTGTAGTATCTTTACTTTTGTAGCTGGAAGTTTAAATGTTTGTGATACACCCATCAGAGCATGTCCCAGATTATTTTTGCGTTAAACTCTGCAGCCAAGGGGAGCAGTTCCAGGTAGATGTTGGCCACATGGAGTAAACAGTGCTTTTTACTTTTTAGGGCTTTAGTGTTACAGTTTTTTTTTTAAGATGTTTTACTCTTAAGATTTTTTTTTTTTAATGTCTGGGAAGAAACCTATAGAAACACTTTGACAATGGGTTGTATCTTTAGATACAATGCACAAGTTCCTTTTGTTGGTTTTAAAGAAGAGAAGTTTTGAATAACTTTCTTTAGCCTTTAGGATTTGATGGTAGTCTAGCGGCGTGCAAGGTCGGACACTAGATGTCACTGTCGCTGCATGTATAATTACTTTCTTAACTTCATTTAGGATCCAATTAGGCCCAGTGCTTTCTCTTAAGGATCTGAAGATAACCCTGGCCATGTTCCTCTCCTCCCTAAAAAGGCTGATTATCACATTTTTAATTTAGGTTTTAAGCTGTTATTTGTTAAAATATTTTCTTGTGACGGAAGTGAGTTTTAGGAATTAGAAAATATGGAATAATTTTATGATGTACTGTTGGTAAGTCTAATGAAACCTACAGATAGTTCTGAATTGTCATTTAAATTGCTGTTTATTGCCCTATGAAATTCAATAAATATTTAAAAAGAAGGCAACTGGCTATAAGTATGAATCCCCAGAGTATATTCAGGAAATACCAGAGAGTTTTGTTTTTTCTAATCAAGGTGTATTTTTAAAATAATGCTAACATTATTCCTTTGAAAGGATGATTACAATTTTTACTATTTAGTAGGTTTCTAAAGAAATTCTTCTTCTCAGTAGTTTGAAATCACTAAGATTTCTTTCTCCTTAGCTTTCTTTATTTTGTAATAATTCTAAAGTGTTGAGGTTTAAAACAGTTTGGTCATGTTATAAAATTGTGATAAATAGGGGCACGTGGGTAGCTCAGTTGGTTAAGCGTCTGATTAGGCTCAGGTCATAATCTCAGTTGGTGGGTTCGAGCCCCATGTCGGGCTCTGGGCTGGCAGTTCGCAGCCTGGAGACTGCTTCAGATTCTATGTCTCCTGCTCTCTCTGTTTGCCCCTTCCCCACTTGTGCATGTGTGCACGCTATCTCTCTCTCTCTCTCTCTCTCTCTCTCTCAAAAATAAACAAACATGAAAAAAAAGAGACGGTGATAAATAAATAACAGCATAAGTAAAATATGAGATAATTAACAAGTGAAATTAATGTTTAAAACTAAATTTGACAGTGAAGAAATGCTTTTTTACATTTTACTTTTTATAGAATGAGTGATACATGGATGTGTACACAGATTTTACTATGTACAGGAGAAAAATCATCATTCCATTTAGGTTACGTCTGAAGGAGGTTGGAAGAATAACACAATGAAACCACCCTGCTTTAATCTATTTGCCAAAGGCATGCTGATGGGAGCCACCATTATAAATTCATTTTTCTTAAATAGGAAAGGTTACAAAATATGTAACTTTCCTAGAAAGATGGAAATGGAATATTCATATAATTGCTTTGAGTAAAGTTGAAAAGTGAAATGAAGGAATTAAGAAATTAATAATTTTTAAAAATGTGATGAACATTCTTGGTGAGAGCCTTTACTTTAATAATCTGAAGATTGGTATATATCATTATGTATACAGAGCTTCTGTTCTCTGTTTAACTGTTGAAGAGTATTTCCTGGAAGCACCCACTGGATTTGCTCTGCAAAACCTTTAGTGTCTTAGATTAGCTATTATTTGTAGTGGTTCTAGTTGTAGTTTGTTTAAGTCTATCACTTTTTGTTGAAATGTTTATAAGCTTGTTCCCTACACTATTAATTCTGTGAGGGCAGAACGTTTCTCATCTATTCTGTGTATACGTCATGGGCACTTTCAGAATGCTAGTAATAATGATGTCTTGTTGGTGGGTCACTCACCCATCGAATAACTACACTCAGCTGATGAGACCTCACAGGCCAGTTAAATCTACTTTCACAGCCACAGATTGGTCTGCACACCGTCTTGCAAATGTGTGTTCTTGGTCAGAAGGGAACTGGTCATAAAAAGAACATCTGCCTTTCCCATCTAGTGGGGAAAAAATGTCTATCTTGGGGTAAACAGACTTGGTTTCTAGGCATTTTGCTGCCGCTGGAGATGACCTTAATAGACTCCCTTATCCTCTTTGTACTTCAATTTCTCCATCTATGTAACGGGAATAATAAGATCTGTGCCCTGTACTCAAAGGGCTGTGGTGGGGATAAAACAAATGATTAACAGTTCGTTTCTTTTAAAATGTTGAAAGTCCTACACAATTAGAGACAGAGTTGCTTTTTTTCTATTACCACTTCTATTCTAGTACTCGGCCCATCATCTTAGAATTATAGTGAAATTTTGGAGTACAGAATCAATATCTTACCCATTTGTATACCTAGCATATGTGTGGCATATAACAGGCACACAGAAATAGTTGCTTAATGAGTAAGTAAATTTTGTTATGAGAGGAGAGATAAGAAATCTGGTTTCTATTCCTGCCTTTGTTGCCATGTAGCCACGATAACCAACTGAGACAAATTAGTTAACCTTTCTGGGCCGTGGTTTTCTCCTCTAAGATAAGAGATTTGGACTGTCCTGGAGGTCTCCTATTTCTGTAAAATACCAAGCTAAGGCTTTATGTAATTGTTACTGGAATTGTGGTTTGGTAACCTGCTATATTCCCAGTTCCTAGAATAGTACCTGCCTTGTAGTGGGGATGAGAAGTTCCCTTTACGTATGTAAAGAAGGGAATAGAAGGTTCTACATCCCCATTTGTAAGTATGTAGAGTGCACTCGTAATGATGGGACTCTAGAGCTCCTTAGTCTTGTTCTAGATGCGTTCCTTGGATTATGAAGAATGAGAACACTTAAGTTTCACTTGTTTTGAAATAATTTTACAGCATTTTAATTTTCTAAATCTCCTTTCCTTTCTATTTATTACCTCCTGACTGACTTGGCCTGACTGGATGAACCTTTGATCCTACGTAGAAGCAGAGCCTGCATAGCCCTGTGATGCAGGGAATGTGGTGGGCTTTCCAAAATGGCCTCCATCTACAGTGTTGTGAGGGGTCTACCCTTGATGGTTCCTCTTTCCGTACGGGGCAGGAGCTAAACCAATGTGATCTTTAACTCTAGGTCTTTCTCTTTAGTCCCTGTGGTATTAACCTTCAACTATTCTAGTCCCAGGTAAATGACAAATATCAATATGTGGCAGTCTGAATGCTTCCAGGTTTTGCCAGAGCTTCACGTTGGTCTCAGTGTATTCTACAGCTCTTGCTTTCTGTCTTCATTTTAAGTCACTTAGTCAGTGAGAATTTGTTAACATTTGTCATGAACTCATTATTGACACAACAGAGGAGTACATGAGAAGTATAAAACTTGGACCTTGCTAAAGGAGCTTATGTTTTAACTAAGGGAACAGAAATTGTTATCTGTGAAAGATACAAGTTGAAGACGATTTGTAATAAGCGAATGTACAATGTGACATGAGTAATAGATGCACTAGAGAATCCTCAATGGAAGAATTGAGTGGAATATTTGGGGGAAGTAGTGTTTCTTGTAAAGCTTTGGAAATGAGTACATTTGGGGTACGTGGAAATAGGTGGGTTGAAAAATGGAACAAAAGAATAATAATCTTGTTTTTTGTATTATTAAGTATAATGATCTCTATTCTGCCTTATTAAAGAAAGCTCATATTTAAGTTAGTATCCTGGGATGGTTTAGTACAATTTAAGAAGAAAATGTTTGTAAAAGCTTTACTAGGTCCATGAAAAATTAATTTAAATGACTATGTTAGGAGATGTAGAACCGTATTTATTTTACTTTCCTGGGTGTAAATTACAAAGAATTATTTTAGTTATTTCTGTTAATATCTTGGTTGTGTCGGTCTGGAAGGATCCTCTGAGGGGCATCTGATCTGGTCCAGTCTTTGCTTATAGACAGAATTCAAAGCAGTTTCCAAACAGACTGGCTTCTCTCTTGTTCTTCATGTTTTCTAGGAAAAGGGATTCCACAAGTTTCTGTGGTTACCCACTCCATTGTTTAGGAAATAATTGGATTCTCAAAACTAAAGTTGAGAGCTGTAGGGCAATTCGGTTTTTATATTCTAGAGAATGTAATTATTAGAATTCAGAATAGCTTATTTGCTTTGAACTGTATAATAGTTTGTAGCAAGCGCCTGTTTGGTCAACCTGGAAATCAAAATTTTCTTTGACTGTGGCCAGGATAATCTTAACATCCTCAGACCCAAAGGATTCTCATTTTCTCCATTTAAAAAGCATTTATTATGTGTTTACTCTGGGCCAGGCTCTCGGCTGGGCACTGGGATCCAAAGATGAATCAGACATGCACTTGGCCACGGGGAAGCGGACAGTCTAATGGAGAATATCTGTAGTTATCTCCTGTGCTGTGGTCTCTGTTCCACTGGTGCAGAAGGAAGAGGGGAGCATATCTTCAGTGCCTGTTTGTGTGCTTGGCTGGCTGGACCCTTTATGGGTAACTAACTTAGCCTCCATCACAGCCCTACAAAGTGAATAATCATCCTAACTTCATGGAGAAGTAGACTGA